ACAAACCATGTCCTAACTCTGAACCTATCAATTGGATGAATTCAAATGGTTGAGATCATAAGTCAATTGAAGCTAGACCACCATGGAAAACATGGAAGCACTGGGACTCCTCAGCAGTGCTTACAGTGCTTCCAGGTTTTCCGTGGTGGTCTAGCTTCAATTGACTCATGATCTCAACCACTGAAATTACTATAATATCCAGAAAACCCTTCTGATATAAATGAATTGAGTTGTAACCTTATAACAATGTTCCAGTTGAAACTGAATTAGTTCATTGTTAAATGTATCATTTTTAAGCTACATAAATCTTTTTATAAAATATTGAACTCGTAGTACATGAGTTTCATTTATGTATACTGGCAAAACCGATTAGATTTGGTAACCAGTCATATCACATCAATAAAAATCTTATTCGTTAAGTCACTTGTTGAATATGCATCAATCACTTATTATGTGTACATTTTATTACGTACAAGCATATCCATTACTGTGTTGTCTATCACCTCTTCTTACTGTTGGTGTTTGTATATATGTTACTTCAAGAATCCTTAACATTTGTAATTAGTCTTTATTACATTATACTTGTGACCCACCTAATTTCTAGTTGTTATAAAAATTAATGAAGTGGGATCATATGTTCCACTGTAGACTGAAAGTGGGAGGTTTACACTTTTCCTATTTCTCCAGATATATTATTTACAATGAATTAACTGTTTACTTGATTGTTCATCAGACCTATTTGGTTCATCTAAACTATTATAAACTCATGTTGAACATTATTTTAATATTCTAACTTCAGATGCATCTGTAGTATCTCGCTTCATGCATCCTCTGAAATACACCAATTTAACCGATGACATTTGAATTCTGGGACTTTTATTTGTTCATCGCTTCCATTTAGATTCAATGGAGTTAAGTGTATTTAGATTCATTATGGAGTTTGTCCTTAGTATAACTATCATGTTAACAGTTGTTATAAACAATGTGGTAAACCAGGAAACAAAATATCCTACTGGTAAAACTGTCTCTCTTTTCCTACTTTGTTGTTCACTAAATTCATATTCTCTAATAATTTGCAAATGTTGCCAAATGACAGTATGACAACGAATTCCCCTAAACATTCTAATGGAATAACTGCTATTTCTATAGCAATATTTTGGTCTGAATTATATTATCTAGCTGGATAATTCGTTTTCTACTAGAATGAGTCACAGCTTCATGAGTGTGTTATTTAGAAAGTAAAATTCAGCTTATCATTTTTTCTTTATAGAACCTGAAGCTAATAAAAAGAAACCATGGAGTTAAGTGTAGTGGTAAATCCTTCAAAAGAAAGTTTTCAGTATGCGAAATGATTCTTCTACTGTTAACCTTAAAACCTGTCCAATCTACACTTTATTTGCAATCGTCCTGTGACAAAAATGAAATCGAAAATACCCACCAACTTAGTAGCATGGATGTTGGACATAGATTTAATTGGCCAAGGATGTAACTCTATTTGTTTAATCTGGAAATTATTTAACATGATTGGCTATGACTATTTTTCTAGCTTAATAAAAAGTTTGTTAGGTTATTAGTCTAGGGTTATTGCTTTAAAGGTCTAGATACACCCTGGATTTGTGATGCAATTAGACTAGGTTACAAATACAGATTAGTTGTAGTTACAATAATACGTTCATGTTCGTTTTCACTTGATATTAATTTGGTTAGAAACAAAAGAAAAACACATTTCAACAACATATTCGTATTAAATCTCATCATTTGGATTAAAAATAACAAAAAGGATACAAATCTTTACAAATAAGTTATCATAATACACTTGATCAATCGCAATTGTTGTATATACATTCTAAATAGATTGCTTTGATAGTAGCATTAGTTACGAGTCTTAGAAAGTTGGATTGTAACTAGTGGTGGAGTTCACAACACAAGTGTTGTCTTAGTTGATACTCGCCAGTCGCATTCCAATGTTGATATTCATACTGAACTCGAATCCATTATATTTCGTCTCAAACACCGAGTTGTAAACTAAACTATTGGGTCCAAATAGTCAGTACCAACGTGTTCACTTGTATTCCTTGATACCAAGAAATAAAAAACTCAGTCTCTTACATATGCATAACTTTATACAAATAACCTTCATAGTTGGTCAAATGCATTTCTTCGATCAAATTCCAACGTCTTTCTTTTCCAAAAGTTATTGTTTCTAGTCTTCTATGGGGTTTAATACGTAATCAATCTGGCTTGTATTGAGTTTTTGTCGGAGTCGGTCTATCTTCTTTTGTTTTCATATAATTGAAGAATACTTGACATAAAAGATAGATAGATGATCAGATGTTGCTAAAATTTACATACTTATAAGAGACCGCCAAATAAGTTTATAGTCAGTAAATTTGTTCAAATAAACTCAACTTAAACGAAGCAATCATGCATATAAATTAGTTTGACATTCTTAGGCAACATCTGAAAAATAAAAAATTTTTTTTGAAAAGGTGTCATCATAATTGGTTAAACACTTATTCTACTTTAACGCATTTATCAAGTACAAATTTGATCTTAAAACCCTTCCTAAGCTTGAAGGACAGCTATGATACCAAACAACCGAATTAAGTAGAGTTAAGTTTAAACTTAAAACCAAATGGTTAGATTCTGGTGCTTCAATCAAGAAACAACCTAGTTATACCAACGTTTCTAGGTAAGAAGGTTAAGATAATAGATGATATTGTGAATCTGTACTAAATTTGTTTGGGCGTAATTTACGTTTACCAAAGTACGGATGTATACACACACAATGGATGGAAGTTATAACTGGGGAGTAAATACAAAGTAAGCCAGATTGGTATGATGAAAAAATGTCTAATTTACTTTCAGATTTTCAAGGTGATATTAGTTATCGATAAGACGAGATAAGATGAAGAGTTTATGTTTCCTCCAACTCAGCGCAACGTTTTATAACATTACTTATTCTCAATGTGACATTTTGATATCGATTTCATTCTCACGGTCAGTAAGATATTGAAGTCATATTTTCAACTGTAGCAATATTTTAGGACATTATATTTTGTGTCAACTGAGTCTGAAATTCATTCAGTATGGGAGGTGTGACAATTATGTTCTTTGTATTATCCAACGAGAATGTCGTAATTGTTTTACAGTAACCATGTGCATCATTCCTTTCCTATGATGTTTGTTAACTAATCATTAAGTTTGTGAAAAATCAATATATAAATGAGGGCTTGGTTTAATGACGAAGTGATTTTAGACTACTGGTTGTGATTACTTGTTTTGTGGATGTATTTTTGGAGACTTATTAAATTTTCGTTTGTACCAGTCTTTCGTTTTCACTTCGAGCCGTGGGATTTGAGTGGTTAAAACTGAGTTTATACGCAATAAAATAGGTGTATTCACTCCTTTCAGACATCATCCTTTAAATGCTTCTGCTATTCGAATATGTTATATCTTGAATGTTGATTTCTTGATATACCGCGTATAACAGAGCACTAGAACACCAAAACCCTTCCAAGTCGCAATAAGCAGACAGAAGACTAATGAAAGGAATATTATTCCAAACAGTGTCAGTCATAGTACAAAATTGTCAGGTATTTATAGTTTTTAGTAAGAACGAAATCATCATTTCAGTCTTCCTATTAGCATTATCCAATCGGGAAGCTACACGTAGGAATTCTAGAATATTCTTCCGAAAGATGATTGGATGGAACATCTTCGGCTCCTTCTGAGCCTCTTACAGCTTCCTCGAGTTCACCCGTGGTCCGTCGTCACAGAATATTTCCTATTCGTCTTAGTATTTTTCCATCCTTATCGATCATAATTTTTAGTCCCAAACTTTCTTAGGGTGAACTGAATGAATTCATTTCGCATGTGCTATTCTATACTGGTTCAATGCTACGCTTATGTCTATTTGTTTATTTCTAATCATCAAAATGAATTACAATTCTCCAGTAGGGATTTAATAGCTTACTTTTCATCAAAATAATCATTTATTTCTCAAAAGGTCCTGAACACATGTTTTGTCGTAACTCAGGACTCTTCAGTATCGTAAAACCAGATCTCTCACATGGAATGAAAAACGCGAGCTTCAATTCTAACCCTGAGCGTGACACCTATACGAAATCAACGTAGCATATGTTCAGTTTATTTACTTTGAAATTTGGCACACAATCGTTATCATCGACACCAAACATCTCATTACTGAATCAGTCGACTTCGGAGGTTGCAACTTTCCACTACAGCATCGAATAAAAATTTTCAGTGGGAATCTCTGACTTGGTGAGTCACTCGTGAAGAATTAGGATAATTACTTACTGACTTATAGTTCCTCTTTATCCTAGACTACTTGATGCAATATTGAGTTCTGATTCAATAACTGATTGACGTCGTGTTTCATACGAAACCTGAATGCTGTGGTCGTGGTTGTGTTCGACCGTCAATAAATCTAAAACTGGCAAACAATATTAGCTGAATCTTTAGGCTCCTGACCTAAATCAAAGCTATGTAAAAATTTGACTATCCAATTAAACAACCAATGATAGTTCTTGGTAGTTGGCAAGGTAGTTAGTATAAACGACGTTTTGTGCAAACTATAACCTATGCTACTTGGATATCAATAATAAAAGTTTGGTGAAAAAATGTTTAAACAATATGAAAATAAACCTTTATGCTATGAAGCAGTACACAAAATTACTGAACATTGTGTGTACTATGTAATTGAATTATAGTTAAATGAGGATAATATTCGTCAAGGTTTGATATCAGCTATTGAAAACTAAAAAGAAATTGATGGCTGTTTTATCTCATTCTTGAACTTTGATCAATTATGGTCCTGTCATTGACAAATAGCAGTGCTTTCAAGCGTTGTACTGATCACATTACTTTTATACAACTGAACTGGTGATAAGTCTTTTTTAAACAAAAAACATCAAACATTAACTTCTAACTTTGTATTTTTTAATTAGCAAAATTTTTGTTCATCAATTTCAGATATAATGTTTAGGTCAAAATATGTTGGTTCATATGGATCCTTTTCTCGCGAATGGGAACCTCCACCACAACCTCCGCCACGACCTCCACCGTTGCCACCGCGTATACCACAAGAATATGACCCATATATTGGTCCAGGAAAATGGAATAGAGGTCGTATTAAATCGTTTAGTGTGACCGAACACTTTGGCAGTATTGTAGCAGATTTTCGTAATTTGGAAGTTTTTTTCCACCAAGTAAATTAAATCGTACAATATTGCAGATAATTGTAATATAGCGATATATAAGCTTTAAAATTATCCCATCTGGTTTAAAAATATACATTTATAGCAAAAACAAACAAATCAGCGAAAATTCTATTAGTAAACAACCTATAAGTAGCAAAACTTTATTAACTACTACAAATCAAATCACGAATATACTCATCACCGAATTATCCATTATGGATAAAAATAGATATTTGACCTATAAATACTAGGGATCCAATGAAGCCTTAAGTGTTTACAAGTTTATTAAGGGAAAGCTGAGAGACGTTTTGTTTACTTGAAATATCATTTAAAAGAAACACATAAAAATGAACGATTTTACTCAAAGTTCAGATAACTGTCGATTTCCAGAAAATATAGGGATCCTACATATACTTACTCACTTACTTACGCCTGTTACCTCTCATTGATCATAGACCACCGACAAAGATTCTCCAACCAACTCTGTCATGGATTCGCTTTTCCAGTTGTCTCCAAGTTCTATTCATCCTTCAGATTTCTCCCTTCGACTCCCTATTCAACATGTTGTTTGGTCTTACTCTTTTCCTTTAACCTTCGGGATTCCAAGTTGGAGCTTATCTTATAATGTTGTTTAGTGATTTCTGAAATCTGTGTCCTATCCACCAACAAAGTAATTTTAGTTTCCTCTTCAGTTGGAAGCTTGTTTGTTATTTCATACCGTAAGTTGTTGCTGACGTTATCCGGCAAACAAATATGGAGTTTATTAATACCTATACACTTTTGATGATGGTTGTAGTAGTTGTCCAAGTTTCAACTCCGTACAACAGGACAGTATTAAAGTTCAAATTTGAAAATTCTGACTTTGATGTTTACCGACGGTTCTTTAGAGTTTCAGATGTTCTTTGATTGTAGGAATGCTACCTTTGCTCTACAAATCAGCACCTTCACATCCACATCAAATCTCCCTTGTTTATCGATCATGCTGTCCAAGTACGAAAGACTTCCCATCACTTCCAGAACTTCTCCACCAAGTATGATTGAGTCTGTTGTCTTTGTGTTGTATTTCAGAATCCTGCTCCTCCCCTGTGAAGGTTGAGGTCAATTGCTCCAGAAGCTGATTCTATACCAACTGTATTTACCTGAATTTGTTGACGTGTATAGAAAAGAAGAGCTAGGTGAACTGCGAAGTCCGAATCGTATAGTTGCATGCAAGCTGTCCATCGTATTCCGTGCCAAATGCTTTGTCACAATCAAGGAAGTCAACGTATATTAATGAGTCCCGTTCAACCGTTTGTTAAACAATTATCCGTAGTGTTGTGATTTGGTCTATTTCGCTGTTTTTGAATCTCAGTGATTGGCTTGCCTTCTTCGTCTTTGACTGATTGCTCTCGTTTACAATATTTCCCTATTCGTTTCTTCATTATATCATCATATAGTTGTTTCACATTTCCTTCTCATGCAGCTCTTTCCGATGTCATTGCTTAGTCCTACACATATTTCTGCTCGCCAGCTCTAATACTCTTCTTCACTCTCTTGTTTACTTCGGTGTATTCAGTCTGCGCCTTGACTCTCTCTCTGTTCTTGTTCAATTGTTGTTAATTGCTGTTTTCTTGTTCTTCCTTTCTTGAATAATATCTGGCGTTTCCATAGAAATTTATTCCTAATGATGACGCTCCTTGAGGTCCAACACTTGCTGATATGTTGAAGTTAGTGCTTCTTTGATCCCTTCCCAGTTGTCCTCCATAATAGTTTCTTCCTTTATGAGTTGATCTTGTAAGGCATGGAACCTATTGTTGACAGCTATTTTGAATTCATTGAATTCGTTAGTATCTCGAGCGACGGCTTTATTAAACCTTTCTTATATCGTTGAAAAAAGCAGTTTCCGCACCCACTTATGTTAAGTAGCTGAATGACTACGTTATACTATTACTTTTAATTCTAACACACGAATGTATTCCAAGTAAAGAATCAATTTCTAGAAAAACTACTTATTGTCTCATATCATGCGGGTAATTCTTTATTCAAATTATGAAGTTTAGTTTATAAAATACTCAACGTTCAGAGGTTTTTATGCATTAAGTGTTACTTATCACTCCATCACTATTAGCATGAGCTAGAAATCTTCTGTAAACCAGGGTAGTTATTTGGCTACTAATGACTATAGAGTTCCAAACTGGGAGAGGGTCATTCTTTTGTTTTCAGTTATGATTTAAATAGGATAAAACTATATGCTTCACGGATATTTTCATTTTATTTTATTGGATTCACCTTACAGCTACATACAGAATGTAATAAATTGAAGCAATTTGACATGAATTATTCTCCTAATCACAACTGAATTATTTAGAAGGATACATTCGAATGTAACTTAGATTAATACTGTTTACTGGGGCATTTTTACTGATAGCTTTTTTAAATACTAGAGAAGTTAACATTAGTCTACATTATGAGTGTGAGTTAATCTCACTGGACTGTAAGTTACTCATACCATTAGTGTCGTTTATCAACGTTTTGAGTGTTAGCTACTGACTCATTTTGAATTGCAATGACTTGTAATAATCACTTTAAGGAAGATTATCTTGAAATTTTTAAATTTATCTTATACCAAGTAGGTAACACTCAGTTGAACTATTAATACTGTTTTGGTCTCTGAAACGTATACTTTTTAAATTGTTTAGTTAAGCCTACAGTTTCTAGTCTGTTTTTCCATAGATGTACTTGCATTTAGTCGTACAGTAATATTGTAACAATCTGGGATTTTCAAAATCTTGAGTATAACCGTCTGTAGTCCTAGTTATATAGGGGATTGGAAACTAACACCATTGACAAAGACTTTGAATATTTAAATTGTATGATAACCATAGATCGCTGTTGTTCCCGGTAAGAAATGGAATTCAAACTTCTGTGGAACTGATTGTTGAATTACAGCAATAGAAGTAGTCAGACGACCATGTGACTCGACGTTGTGGATCAATATGTTTAATATGGTTAGAGGCAAGATACAGAGAGTGCCAGTCATCAGTATAACTCAGTGGTCATGTGAATGAACATGAGACTGAGTGATACAGGCTTAAATTTCATAGGCAGGATAATTCCCTCTAAGGCTAGAGGTAAACTTCGCAGATGTGTTCTAACTATGACAACAGCCTTCTTCCAGTTACATTCATCCATCTAATATTTGCTTCTAAAATCCAATCCATTTCAATTTTTACGCGGTAGCGATATCTGTCTACTCTTGGCATGTGTAAATTCCGCTCCTTATGACGGTCCCACTAGAACATTAGACGGTCGTTATCCGAATTCGCTTCAGGTGGAAATGTGGATCTTGGGGCAGTGCCACAAGGATTTTATAGTGAATTCAGTGAGTTCGGCTTTATTAAAGATTGTAACTGGTTAGTGTTGCGGTTTAGTCCCATAATATGACAAAATAAACGTCCACTGCTTTCTGATTTTAAACTATTCACCACTTGTTATTTTGGCCATAAAAATAGCTTAATGTATTCTGGCTGTCTTTCTAAAAACATTCTTTCTAGTCTAACGTATACGGAATTTCTGCGGAGCAGTTATATCCAGACTTACCAGTTTGGTTTCAAATACGTCCAGGTGTAAGAGGATTAGAAGGATATAATATTCAACCAGCAATTGAAATGAGAGAATTTCCTTCAACATCACGAATTCCATGGTCAGAACCAGCAGTTCGTCAACCCTTATTTCCTCTTAGTTCAGAGCCACTTAGAATGAGAAGGTTACCTGAAAGACGTAGAACAAGACGATTTCGGTAAGTCCAAGGAATGAAGATAGGTTAATGGTTGTTTGAGGTAATTGTAGATCTAAATGTTTTACTGATTATTTTGATTAACGTTTATCCCTTTGCATGAATCTAGTAGTAAAAATATGTATATGGTTAAGATTTTAAACAAATCTATAACCGTCATACCCACCTGTTAAGCAAAAGACCATTTCTGTAGTGCGACACAATCTGTTTGGTACACATGACATTGCATAATGTGAAACTGGGACCAAGCTGACTTTCATCCAGACGTGATGCGTTCAGTCCTCTCATCATCAGATTTTAATGTTTTGGGAAACCAGGCGTGTTAAATGGATTAGACTGTAACCCATAAACCTTATGTAGTGAATAGCAGACATCTCAGTACTAAGTGGACCCATTTCCAGCTTATCTTAAAAGCTCGCATTTTGTTTAGCGAAGCTTAGCGTTAGGTAATTCCAACCACAATCCGCACATGAAAGATCTACAGAATCCTCCAATGTGAATGATCATTTGCTTATATAGATAGAAGCTTGCTAAATTAAAGTTCCATCCAATGAAACCAAAAAATATTTATTAGCTAAAGAATTTTTATTATACTTGTTATTGTTTTTTAACCGTCCTTTGTGATCTTAATGACTGAAATATTGGACTCCACAGTATAACCTCTGATGATCGAGAAGATTTGTAGCTTTGGTACGTAGTTTCGGCATTGCAGAATTTTTCAAGTTTAACTGAGAAGCTTTATTTGTAGTTTAGGAGAATATTAGGGGACTTCATAGATAACAGAGAACTTTTAGAAGTCTGAAATTTATTTCAATCCGCTGTTAACAGATACATTAACACTGATCCAGTTTGTCTGTCCATGTTAGAGAATGTTGGTGAATCCTGGTCGACGGCCAACGCTCCACTAGGGGTAACAGACATAAGTATCTGTCCATGTAGATACAGTCAGTCAATCACATGATGCAAAGTCAACCGAACAAGAGTGTGCAGAAATAAAAGTTGTATAAAAGGTGATAAAACCTGTAAAAACAATCTGTCCATCAGATCTCGGTAGCGTGAAAAGTACTGAATTAGAAAACAGTCCTCAATATTTCCAAGTTTAGTCAGTTCACGATATTTCCTAAGCTTTATTCATTTGAATGATTTCGATAAATCCTACTCTCATATAATATCTTTTACAAAATTTTCCACACTTATGAAGAGAAACTTCCTATATAATTGGCAATATAATATTGAACTATAAGTGGTTGTATTTTATATGTTAACTGTGAACTAATTTATGGGATCGAAAATTTTTTTTCTCAAGTGACCTAACAAATTGAGATATTATTACTTTTCTGTTTGGTGTTCATCACTGTTCAATAAAAATCTAAATTATGATCATATTTAAATTATAAACGATGGAATAGTGAGATAGAAAGTAAGGGTTGACAATAGCATACTTAATCTTCGAAATAGAAATCTGATTGTTTTAACCATTCTGACGCTCCTGATGTAAATTCTTTATTATATCTGAGTGACTGAGTGGTAGTGCGTTTACCGTAAACTAGGAGGTCTGAATTTCTAAATAACAAGTCTTACATTGTGTTATGATGGGCGGTGTCTGAAAACTGATATTGATACACAACGTGCTACACTCTAACTCATCACCAGACAGCTAGTGAGAGAAAACGGGAGTGGATGAGAAAGTATATTGGGCTACCAAATATTATACACAAATACTTCTTTTTACACATACATCTCTACCGTTCAGAAAATTTATCCATTTCTTAGTCAATGGTATACATTTATCCTTCAAGCCATTTCAGATTATCAAGTGACCCTCTCATTTGGTTTCTTCTGATTGGCTCACCATATCACATTGGTCTAGATCAATTTTTAACTTATATCTCAAACAGACAACAATAGATCCAAGTGATCAGATATTGTCCAAGGTTTGCTGGCTGAAAATTATTACAGGAGGTAATAAATCCGGTCTTGTGCACCGTTGTATCCATTACCTAGGAGGATCTGAGTTAATAAATAAAACTACACCTTCTCCGAGAACATAATTATTCAGCCCAGTAGTTACATAAATTACCAGTAAGCTGTTCATTTCTCAACTAACCCCGTTTGAAAATTAATTATATGAATTCAGTCCAACATAGGTTATTATCAGCAACGTCCAAATGTTAAACTGTCTGACTGAGTTGCTTATTTTATATATTATGTCAGTCATCTTTGATTACATTGAGTGATCTTTATGGTGTATCATGAAGTGATTGTATTAAAATGTATAAACATCAAAACGCTTTCATGTAGTTCATGAATTTTAATAAATATCAGTGTTAGTTAGATGTATGTGGAACATAACAGTAAAATGAATAAATGCATAAATCCATTAACAATTTCCTAAATAATTTTAAGTGGAGTTGCTTACTACTTACGAGTAGTTAAATACTATATAAGAGAATAGTAAACATTGTAAAACTGAACAATGTTAAATATGTAGGCAGTGGTTGTACTGCTAGTTTAAAAATGATTGTTGATTTTGAGTTTGCTAATCGAAATCATCTTCGTAGTCTTACCGGGCAATATATGTAAGTCAATAAAAAATCTGTAGAGAGCAAACAATAGTTTCGACAACCCAAGTACATCTCAATAAAGTGTATACGATGTCGCATATCTTAGACTAGTGACCAAATTGTAACATGATCGACAGAACTTAAATAGCACTAAGAAGGACTTAAAATACGTTACATTGGTCACTACCCAGTGGTCAATAAATCTTAAGTAGTTTGATGTAAATATTTAAATTTGTATCTTGTTTAGCAGTTGGGTTAGTGATGAGAGGTAGAACTGATGATGGAAACAGGAGTACTTTTTATTGTTTTCAGCAACTCTTAGAAAAATTGACATCACTTACTTAAGAGTATTATGGCGAATAATAATAATTTTCATTCATAAACTAGATAGATGAAGATAAATAATGATTTAGTGGTATAAGTTTTCACTAGATTTTCTATTATGGTAGCTTGAATGAATTCTAAAATTAGTGCAATGTTTTTGGTGGTTAAATCGTTAATTCGATCAAGAAATCGATTCCTGAATTCCTTTAAACTATAATGGATGATATAACTGGTGATCAGTTGATATCTTTAGCATACTCAATAAACTATTTTAAAAATATAACTAACTTCACTGTTTGAAATGAGCATATCAGGTTAAGTGACTGTGGTTACTTGAATCACACACTACTACCGATAACGAGAAATCACTACTTCTGTTATTGTGACAGTAAAGATTTTATTCATTTATAGACATTGAGCCTGAAGAAGAAGGTCACACGAACAAATTTCCCTCCGTCAAAATAATTTCCTCTATCAACAGAATGAAAGTCTATCAACTCAAAAAAGTCAGAAAAATATCGGTATGAACGAGGAATATTCTTTCCAATAAATTTTCTTTATGTTCTACTGTTAGATATTCCAATTTAAAATATAAAAAGCGGTTAGGTTTAAGATAAAATACATTTTAACAGTTGAGATCATGAGTCATTTGAAGCTAGACCACCATGAAGAACCTGGAAGCAGTAGATGGCTGTTTCGTCCTATTATCGGACCCCTCAGCAGTGCGCACCGAGTACCCCGCCTCGCGGGGTTCGAACCGAGGACCTACCGGTCTCGTGCACGAGCGCTTAACCACCAGACTACTGAGCTGGCATCCAGCCCGAAGAGTAGAAAAATTAAATTTTCTGACGTCTCGTGACTCATTGTAAGCTACTTTTTCAGAGAATAACCAAACCAAAATTAATCCAAGCTTAAATAGTACAACGCAACAACACAAGAATATTATGTGCGAACAATCAAAAAACAGGTCTGACGTCATGTCATTTCGGTCAGGGTGATTCATAGCGACATGTTTGCAAATTAGAGTGTGTGTATGTGTGCACGGTTAAGGATAATAATATGTATGACCATTATGGTGTGAAAGGATAGGGTTTAATTTTTTAGAAATGGGTGGTAGGGAATCTTAATTGCCATGGGCTTAATGTCAACCCAATTTGTATATAAGGTAATAGTGTGAAATGTGTATGTTTTAAGATGATGGGAATTTTTCAAACAGTTAAATGAATTATAAAACGGTTTTCATATTTCGAGGAGTTCTGTACAGACAAACAGAAGGTGTGGCTATGGGATCACCTGTCTCTCCAATTGTGGCTAACTTATTCATGCATTCATTGGAAACAATTGCTATCTCAATGTGTTCCATTCCACCAAAAATTTGGGTAAGATACGTAGATGATACCTTTGTCATTAAAAAACGAGATGGTTTACACGAACTATTCCAACGGTTCAACAGCTTAGATGACAAAATCAAGTTTACTAAAGAGTTGGAATCGCCTGAACGCAGATGACCTTTTCTAAACTGCCTGGTTGAAAGGAAGGATAATGATTGTTTAAAAATTAATATATTCCGAAAGCCTACATATTCAGGGAAATTTTTAGATTTAAAGTCTGCGCATCCACACTCGACCAAAGTGACAGTGGCCAAAAATTTGATCACCAGAGTCAAAAAAACTTGTCACTGAACCAAATGATATAAAAATAGAAATGAATTTAGTTATATTCACTCTATTAATGAATAATTATCCGAAAGGTTTTATTAAAAGAATAATTAAGAGTGAAGAACGGAATGATATTTTTTAAAAACGAGTTAAGCAAGATTGGATGAACACAGTAGTGATCCCATATCGTAAAGGTATCTCAGAAGACATCAGGATTTTAACTCGTCAAAATATAAGAGTATTCTTTCGAACAAACAATACTCTAAGATCAAAACTAGTAAGAATCAAAGATCCAATACACAAGGATGATCAACAGAATTGTGTTTATGAAATCAAATGTAATGACTGTAATGCAACGTATGTAGGTGAACATCAAGGCAACTGAATGTGGGGGTGAAGGAACACAAACTGTGCTTAAAGCACATTCCTAAATCCTCAGTTGATGTAAAAAAAAGCTTGAGAACAGATCAGCGATAGCATTACACTCGATTGAGTCGGGTCATACAGTTGATTTCAATGGCACGAGAATCATTCAAAAAGGATTCAATTCTTACAAAGAACGACTAACAGCCGAAGCCCTACATATATGGGCTAATTCAAACAATATTAATAGGAGAGATGGAATACAACTAGCTGTCCCATGGCAACTAATAATTAATAAGTAAACCTGATCTCCTTTTTGCAATTTGATATATCTATGCCATAGTAACTAACTGATAGATAATACGTTCAATGGTTCAGATCCGTTATCTTGTCTGAATATGTTAAACAATTGACTGTAACATTAAAAATAACACACACTTTCAATTACATATACATTCCTCTTTTATTTTGTTTACTTATTTATCTTCATTTAATGCAGGCTGTGGCATTTTTGATTCATTTCATATATAAAAATGATCTGTTTTCTTAATATACAAAGACCGTAGTCAATATTTAATTGAATGAAATTTCTTCTCACATCACTTGCGTATAAACACATTCTGTTGTCTTAACACGTTTTTGGTTCCATAACACATACCTTGTCCTTATGTATACAAAAACAATTTGTCATAACCTTGTAATCCTTAAAGTCATTCTATGGCCTAGGATAACACGACAATTTCTTATTCTTTCTCTCCCCTTGGTTATTTTCAAATGAACTTTTATTTGGTTGACCTTTATTATTTTTCATATTAACATGTCTCTTACACATTAATACAAATACCTATTTATAAAAAGATCCTTCACGTTGATTGGATGACTTATTCAGTATACAGTAAACCGAAGAACCTTGTACCTATTTATATTCGATAATTTTGTTGTTTGATTATATTTTCCTTGAAAAAGTTTGGACCAGATTGCCAGGCGAAACGTTGGATTTACTTAAAATTCATTCGCTGAGATTTTACAAATATATTCTTCTTTTTAATGTCTCAAATGAACTCGGCGCCCAAATATTGTGAAACTATTCGTTTAAATTTTGACGAAAGTTCTTATTAATTAATCCCTTTGATAATACAATGAGAAGACGTAGTTTATCAGAATTATGTGATGATATATTAGCGCAATACATTTCGAACAATCTGATCACACATATACTTGTTAAGAACAATTATATATGAAAATTAAAAGGTTAAGGCTAAATAAAAATAATATATTTGTAATATCCCAATGAGTAGAAAATTGGATTAAGCATTATATGGAACGCCTCAGCTATCCTCCTTTCTTTGTAGTTGGAAAAGCCTTTTTGCAATATTTTGATATTTTTACTTCTCTCAATAGAAAGGAAGGTCTTACTATACATCCTACTTGGACCATCTATCCTAACCATTCAGTCTGATCGTATTCACAATTTCACACTATCATATTACAAATTTAAACTCTATCCTGTCTTACCATAAAGGTCACACAGGTTTTCATTCTTAAACAATGCACATATACATACACACACAAATTTACATACATATCACTTATGAATCACCCTGACAGAAATGACAAGACATCAACTTGTTCAGACCTGTTTTTGATTGATCCAATATTATTATTGCATTGTTCCGTTGTACTATTTAAACTTGGATTAATTTTAATTTGGTTATTTATTCTCTGAAGAAGTGACTTACACTAAGTCACGAAACGTCAGAAAATCCAATTTTCTACTCATTGGGATATTACAAATATATTATTTTTATTTATAACAATCAACCCAATGCTCAATTTATTCGAGGTTAAGGGTAAGTCATAACAAAGGGAAAATATTAAAGTACACAAAAACAAATGTGATTACTACTCTTGATAGTAAATCAGTACTACCAGGGTAGGTTAAGTGTGAATTATAACTATCTATACTTTGTTTATAAATGTTATTTTTCATTTCATAATTTTTCTTTAACTAAAAATATCTCTATATTGTTAGCTGTTATAATTGTGGACAATACGCTTCACATAAAGCTGCCACATGTCCGTTCGAACCTATGCGACGACGTTGTTATCGATGTCGTGATCCAAATCATTTAATAGCTCAATGTCCATTATTACATTCACTTACACCGCATTGTTATTTAGTACCTGGACCGTCAACTTCGCAGGTACCCCCACGATTTTCAGAAGCACGTTTACGCGTACCACAACTGACCTTAACGACAGCACAACAACAGTTACCCCAACAAACCCAACAGCCATTTATGCAATATTTTTTCCCACCAGGGTTTGGTGATGATGATGACGATGAACATGATGACTTTAGGGAGTAACTGATAGTCATTTCATTATTCGAAATACATTTCTGTGATATACAAGCAGGGAAAAAACAGTTAATATCAAACAATAAAACTAGAATGAAAAGTGACTACTAAAGTTAGTTGAATTATTTGATATTCACCTAAAACGTAGCACTATTGACTAGGTGTATTATCAATCTTTTCTTGCTATCCACTCGTTATATAGGGATCATTTTTAATTTTTGGTCAATGCATTTTGTTTCAATGATATTATTATTATTAATGCCAATATTGTTATTATTATCACTAGTCTTAAACATTCAGTAAGATGACGTTTATCAAACATCACTTACTGCCTTTATCTCGTGGTTTCATAAAGTGGATTGTTTCCTTTAGTCTATCTATCTCTGTCATAGATACATACATACATACATGCACATAGAATAGAAATTCTTTTCATTTTTTTTTAGGAAACATCTTAAAACATAGAAATAGGCGTATTCAATTAATTAAGCAGTTTGATATTTCATTCATCTTTCTATAGATTCCTTTTTGTTCCTTTGCTAGAATATTCAAGTAATCAATGGTTTTAGTTTTATATTCATGGAGAATTATTATTATTATTTTATTAGTGTTTCGTATATTCACCAAATGAAAAGGAAAGAATTAAATCGTTTCTTTTTTTGTGATACATAAATATTACAAATGCAAAATGATCAAAATAACCTGTAAATGAAAGTAAACTATAAGTAACGGACGGAAGACACTATTTTTTTGTTTTTGGGACAGAAAATGAGCTTCATTGAAAGTTTTCTCATGTATGCACTTATTCTATGAATCGCTTTTTATACTACTAATATACTCTTCATACTACTTAAATTGATCGACAGATCATTGTACGTTATGGCTTTATTTTGTAACTGTCTACCTACTTTCACTATTATTAGTACTATTAATAATTATTACTTTATTACGGTAATCAGTATTATTGCAAATATTGTTGAGATCTCGTTGTTATTGTTTTGTTGTTATTCTCTTTAATTAATTGGAACATGTTAGTAAATCTGTAAAAGAAAATAAAGAAGAATAGGATATTTCTTTTCTATTGATAATTTCTATTGTTGGTTGACTTGGGATTTTATCACCGTTCCTTTTTATCAGAGAGAAATATTTCGTTTTATTTTCTATAGTAAAAAATATGGAATCTAGGAATATGTTTTATGTCAGCAGCTGCTTACAACCACCATCACATCATCATTTTTCTTTTAAACTACTCACATGTTTACGCTAAATTACTGTGGTAAATTGTTTGTTTACTTATATGAAGATTTATTTGTGTGTTCTGATCAGTGTGTTTTCCTTTTTACTTTGATGTATTTATTTTGTCGTTTTGTCTTACATACGCACAAAACATTTTTCGTAATGACCTGTAATGATTGCTGGCACAAACTATAATTTTTACTTTTCTAAGGAGCTGGTCTCTCCTAATATTTTTTTCATTCAATATGTCAATGTTTGTTTTTGTTATGGATTTCACTTTTCAATTATTGTTATTATTATTATTATTACTTTTATTAACTTTTGTGAAAGCTCAGTGAAAATTATTAGGATCTGAAATAAAAATTAACTGCCTCTGATTCATTTTGCATTAGGTTGTCATGGTGACTGCTTGACAATTTCAGCGCCTAGTACTGCCAATTATTCAAGCACACAAGCATACCTGGACAGAATTTAAGACATTATAACTTTCTTAAAATTTCTGTTGGTAGGAGACTATATTTCTTCTGTGTTAGTAGCATGTAGAATGAATTTTAGGGTTTATGTTCCGTGTTGAGCATTTTAGAACTATCAATGGAAAACTATAATATGTCAGGTTCTTTTTCCTGAATACTCATCCGGAATCAGTGTATTTTACCTTGATGTTATTTATCTTGTCTTTCACATCCATATTTGAGCACTTCCACTAAATGACTCAATCCAAGTTCACAATGAAATGGAACAGGAGATTTATAGAATGATTCCTGCTCTCTTTCAGAGAGTGAAACTCTCAGATGCTGTAGTCGTGGCTGGTGATTTAATTCCCAAGAAAGTAGTCTACGTCAAGTTGAAAGATACAAGTAGGGGCCTTTCTTTGTTCTACCCCTAGGAATAGGTAATGCTGGCTATCAGTTGTAACTATATACAGTAATACTTTAAAGCATATTGAGAGAGAATACATTACATGGTGATATTGACACAAATAAAATTTATCGTTACCAGGCATCGTTGGGAATGTCGACATTTGTCTGGAGCATATGTTCGAACTCGAACCATTTTCTAGTTAGAGCTTACATTCTTATATCTATCACTGGGTGTAAATGTGTCGTAGCGAGAAGACGTTTTAGAGTTTAGTTCTAATATGAAAAACTTTAATAACGGGTTTGGGGAAGTATTAGTAAACCAATCAGTCGATTCCAAATAGGGATTTTGATCCAGAAAGAAACATGGGACAATACTTAAGCAGCTGAATAAATAATCGTGATATCTGTCACTAATCTGAGCCAACATTTAAAGAGCAACAGTTGTTCTCTTCTCAACTTATTATTATAATTTGACAAACTTGATTTTCGTTTGAGGTAAATCTCCGTTAGTTACCTTATAAGTTAGAAACTTGTGGATATCATTTCTATTTAATTTCCATGTTTTCTTACTCATTGGATGAAACCATATCCCATAAATCAGGTGACTAACACAGTTCAGTAATGTAATCACTGATGCTTTAGCTTTCCTAGAGAGGGAAGTTAAGTTCCATTTCCATCATGAAAATCAACAATTCCTAATATACAGATACATCTGACATACAAATACGATATTGGATGAAACTTCCGATTTTAAATCACCTCTGTCTTGTATAAAATTATATCGGTAATTATATTTACTACATTTAATAATTTGATATTGATTTGGTTTATTTTATAATTCAATCTTTACTTCTGTCCATTAACTAAGGTATAATTCCTTTTTTTCATTGATAATGGAGTATTTTGATATAATCTACTAGGGACCTACTTATTGAGCAGTAATTATTTAATTGATCATTATTTACAAAGGCAAATAGAAGCAAATGTTTAGTTAGTAGACTGATGGATTCTAATGGAACTTTTGAATTTATTTGTATTTGATAAAATTGTTTACGATTTTCCAGCCCAAAAATGGAAGGTCTATTTATTTGTGTAATTTTAGGATGTAATACAGTTTATTATATCTCATCTTCAACCATTAGAATAGAATTCCGAATTCTGCATGATTAACTTAACACAACATGATGATTTAGAACTTAGTATATAAATCTATAAACAATAATTGAGTTAAAGTGACTTTAATTATTCATCATTATGGATATTCGTATTATACCAGTGTTTACTTTTGGTGATGTCCCGTTCATTTTGAATGGCTTAGACACTGATCCTTAATAATCTAGCATTTGAATTGAACTTAAACTCACTGCTATTTTAAGGCAAAAGGTAAGGCTTTAAACTCGACACTCAGACGGTTGTCAAACAGAACGTTCGATAGTGCTCAACAGGATTATCTAAGTTTAATAGTTGACAGGCTGGAATAATTAAAATATGCATTTGGAGAACGTGTACCACGAAAACATTTATGACATGTACTAGTGAAGGGGTTGAGTGAAGGTGGGTTTGATTTGTAAGCAGTATTCGTTAAAGATTTATCTCAGTTGATGTGTCAGTGAAAAACAGGGAGCATCATATAGGTGTTTCGTGTCAGTATGAGACTTCTTGAAATGATGATGAGTTTAGTCTGTGACGAATACAACTTACTAAGTAAACCAATCTCAAAAATTATCCTTTGCCAATGCTGTAATCGTGTGTTTGCCACTGAGTCGCTTCACAATAAGTTCTTGAGATTCTGGTGGGAAGTCGTGACCGGTGAAGTGCAGACATGTCAGGCACGAAATAGTCATTACTAATGCCTCTGGATGATCTCTGAGTTATATAAAGAATTTTGGGAATTTCAAAATATGTACAACCGGGTGAGAATACAGTGATTCATCATTTTCAGAATCAACCAAAGAAGTTTATCCCGTTAGCGAAGTGTCATTTCACATTTAAACAGATTACTATTTATGATCATTCCGTTTACTTCCCTCATAAGACGGGTACAAGTTTGAAGGATCATGTAGGACATTTACTACTAAAGATTACGAATATTTATTGATGTAGTAATACCAGTCTATTTTTATGAATATTCCAGCAGTTAATATCAAACTTTGCGCTGGAATTAATTGATCTACTGGGTAAAAAGTTTCCAACCAATATATAAGGGATCTGAAGTGCAATTATATGAAATAAAGGGAGCCATCCCGATAACACAATGTCTTGAATCCTTGTGATGAGTCAGAGTCATAAAAAAGAAGTGTACTTTTTCAATTAGCTATGACTAATGCATATATGTGAATTATTTAAATCACTCTTTTCTAGCTAGGTTTGCGAATACTTTCTTTAGGGTTTACATTCAGTTGGCCAACGTTTTGATAGTGTACTTTAAGTAGCCAAAATAATCAGCAGATCTAAACACGGCTAGAACGTTTTCATTTAACCTAAAAAAGCCGGTAGAAAAAACGTTTCATAAGTAATTTGGAAAGTATTGCTAAGGTTTTACTGTGAGACATTTTGAAATTCTTACATCAAATGATTGTAGGAATGCCTGATTAACGGATATTTAGGTTTATATATGTATTATTTTAGCCTTAACTATCATGTTATGTGGGCAAAGATAAACGATAGAAAACCCAGTTTCAGCGTTTTGCCTGTTGTTACTTATAAACACTATGTAAAATTCTGTCACAGATTTCTCAATGCCACAGCCAGAGACATTACCAGTTAAATGTTTATCTTTCGTTGGATCGATTTGATAAATAACAATCGAATGACATTTGACTAACACCGGACTGTTCAAATATTTATGCAACCTTTTCCTTGAACTGTGATAATATTACAATTAAAATATTTTTTCTTAATTTATTTAAACCA